AGATAGGTTTCTTTCTAGTAATACACATTGGAGGTTCCTCAGTGTCTTTTTATGCTGTGATATCAGCTCATTTATTTTTAGTGCTGAATACTGTTCCACTGCATGGATTTACCACAATTTATTTTTTCCATTCCTCTACTTAAGGACATCTTGGTTATTTTCAAGTTTTGGCAATTCTGTGGTGGTGGACACCTGAAATCCCAGTGAAAGGTTAATAAAATAGGTACTTGTCACTCCGTTTTTCTATATGCTTAACAAAACACTGTTGAAATCTTAAGAACTGTTTGCTAATCTTGTTCCCAGAATGTGCTGTCCCCAACTGTGAACTGTTTGTTAATCTTGTTCCCAGAATGAGCTGTCCCCAACCGCCAAACTACAAAATGTAACTTCTCTCCTTGCCCTCTCCAAGGAAAGTATATAAGCTCTGCTTAAGCTGTTCTCAGGGCTCTATCTCTCTTTGCTAAAGTGAGCTCTGAGCCCCAGCATGCTGGTCTCCAAATAAACCCTCCTGCTGTTGAATAAGACAGTCTCTTGTGGTCTCTTCCTCCGACGTTTCACCGGACCCTAACACCAGCAAACTGAGACTGAGGAAGGAAGATTGCAAGTTCAGAGCCAATCTGGGGAACTTAGAAAGATTGTCTCTAAATAAATAAATAAATAAATAAATAAGGCTTTGGGATGTGACTTGGTGGTGGAGCACCCCAGAGTTCAACACCCAGCACACACACACACATATAAAAAAAAAAAAACCCAAAAAACAAAAAACAACTCAAGTTTTGGCAACTATGAATAAAAAATGCTATGAACATGCACATGTAGATTTGTGTGAATATGTTTTCAACTAATTGGGTAAAGGTCAGAGAGTGCAACTCTTGGATTGTATGGAAGAGAATGCCTGGTTTGCAAGAAATTGCCAAACTGTTTTCCAAAATGGCTGTACCCATTTTGCAATGCTAGCAGCAATGAGACTTCCTGTTGCTCCACATCCTTACCAGCATTTGGTGTTGTTAGTTTTTTGGGTTTTATCTATTCTGATAGATGTGATAATCTCATTTTACTTTTAAAACTCTCTAATGACTCATGCATGATATTGAGCATCTTTTCAAGTGCTTATTTGCTAAATTTGTATCTTTTGTGAGGTGTCTCTTTAGATCTGTTGTCTATTTTTAAGTCAGGTTTTAATCTCTTATTGTTGAGTTCTTGGTAGATTTTGAATAATGGAACTTTGTTTGATATGTCATTTTTCCCAGCATGTGGCAAATCTTCTCATTCTCTTGACAGTGTCTTTAACCCAGAAACTTAATTTTAATGAACTCCAGATTTTTAATGTTTTCTTTTACAGATCTTGCCTTTGGTGTTGTATCTAAAAAACAATTGCCAGATCCAAGATCTTGCACTCAGATAGATTTTCTTTTCTGCAATATTCTAGTAGTTTTTATATTTTTGAATTTACATTTAGGTTTTGATCAATTTTGAGTCAATTTCTGTAAAGGTCTAAGGTCTATATCTGGGTTCTTTTCTTTCTTGCATGTGGTTACCCAATTGTACCAGCATCATTTGTTGAAAGGACTACTTCTTCTTTTTTGTACTGCCTTTGCCCCTTTGTCAAAGATCAGTTGACTACTATATGAGTCAATTTCTGAGGTCTCTCTTCCATGGATCTATTTGCCTGTTCCTTTTTTATCTTTTGGCAGTGTTGGGGACTGAACCCAGAGCATCATGCATACTAAGCAAATGCTCTACTACTGAGTACACCCCCATTTCCATTTGCCTATTCTCTTGCCAATACAACAACTCGACCTTGATTACTATAGTTTTATAGTGAGTGTTAAATAACTTAGTGTTGGTCCTATGATTTTTTTTTTCCTTCTTCTATATTGTGCTGACTATTCTGGGCCTTATGGTTCTCCATATAAATTTTAGAATCAGTTTGCCAGTATCCACAAAATTGCTGGAATTTTGACTGAGATTTCATTGAATCTAGAATCAAGTTGGAAGAACCAGCATTCTGACTATATTGAGTTTTTCTATGTGTGAACATGGAATTTCTCTCCACTTATTTGTTCTTTTTTGGTTCATTTTATAGGTCTTTTAGTTTCCCTCATAGATCTTGAACATATTTTGTCAGATTTATAACTAAGTATTTTGGAGAGACAATAATATTAAGATAGTATTTACTTACTTTCAAATTCCATGTTAACCTTATATCTACCACGCGGCCTGCGCAGTGGTTTCATTAATGAGGTTCTAGGCATAAAGTTAGTTAGAAGAGATCGAAATAAAACACAAGACTCAGTTACCTTATTTCTATTGCTAGGTCCGAGACGGCTCCCCTCTCTGGCTCGGTCTTCTAAACTGCCCAGCAGGGCAGCAGGGATTACTCAGGGCTAGCAGGAGAGAGAGAGTGAGCACGCCGGGGACCAGCCTTTTATTGGGGAACAAGAGATTCAGGGGAGAATTCCATCCAATGAAGGTTGAGGGGGGGCTGCACTCCAAGGTCAGGGTCAGTGATTGGGTCCCCGGGGTCAGTGGTCAGGCACACCCCCACAGGGATGGGCTCTCTCATCAGGAAAGGGTCGGGAAAACTTCGACTTTGCCAAAGTGCCTCAGGCCCTTAACGGGAGTCACCTGATCATGTGTTAGAATGGCTTCCCACACTTATATGATAAAACTCAGTTATAATCTTTTATTGGTTTTAGGAGCTTCGTATGTTTTCCTTTTTGTGTGTGTGTGTGGGCATAATAGGGATTGAACTCAGAGGCACTCAGCTACTGAGCCACACCCCAGCCCTATTTTGTATTTTATTTAGAGACAGGGTCTCATTGAGTTGCTTATCACCTCGCTGTTCCTGATGCTGGCTTTGAACTCTTGATCCTACTACGTGTGTCACCACACCCAGCCTCATCTGGTTTTATCTCCATTCTAGATAGAAAAAAAGGAGACCATCTAACACATCAGAAGAAACTCAAATTTTTAGGGTCAAAATTGACAGCTGCAACAGAGAAATCAGGCCCTGCATAGAAAACGGAAGTGACATTTTTGTATATTTAGAATGTAACAAAATGCGTTAATTATTACTTTATAAAAATAAGGCAAGTAGTTATCTGGTGAATTAATTATGTAGTCTCAGAAAGGTTCTTTGCCTTACCTGACCTATAATCTAGTACATCTGACTTCCTAATTCTGGCTGTGTTTCAATCCACATGTCTTTACAAGTGGAAAGCTATTTCCTTAACCCAGGGCCCTCCAAACTTATCTGCTCAAGTCCCTTCAATATTATAGAAGAATGGGAGTCTACCTCAGCTACTCCATGACTTTATGTTACTTTGATTTCTTCTTTCTTTTTAAAAGTTATACTGATTTGCACTCTTTTCGGAAAACATCTTTGATTCATAATAAAATATCTAAATAATATCATATAAACTGCAAATCTTTTTCTGCATCTTAAACTTGATGCTACAGTAAGATGTAGCCGGGTGCAGTGGCCCACGCCTGTAATCCCAGTGGCTCCAGAAGCCGAAACAGGAGGATCTCAAGTTCAAAGTCAGTTTCATTAATGGCGAGGCACTATGCAACTCAGTGAGACCCTGTCTCTAAGTAAAATACAAATTAGGGCTGGGGATGTGGCTCAGTGGTCGAGTGAACTCTTATTTCCTATGTGTGAGCATCTTTCTTTACTCTTTGTCCACTTTTGCACACTTCAGAGGGACTAGTTAGATTGGATCTTTTAAAAACTGAAAAAATTTTTTTAAATCGTAAAAACCAAACTATATTTTATAGATAATGTAACTGCAGTTTATTACTGCTCACAATCATAACACACAACCACAATTTTCCACATAGTGGCCAATAGTCAGGTAATCAAATTCATACCAAATTAGATAATATTGAACAGTTTTGTTTTTTTTTTTAAATCACAGCTGGACCGTGGTCCATTTTTATAGTCACCATGGTATGCAGACCAAGAAATGTCTACTTAAAAAAACCTCTCACAGGGGCTGGTGGTAGAGCGCTCGCCTAGCATGCATGAGGCACTGGGTTCGATCCTCAGCACCACATAAAAAATAAAGATATTGTGTCCACCTAAAACTAAAAACTAAATTAAAAAAGAATCTCACAAATACTGAAGTCATCTCTGGTTACAGATATTAACAGAAAGAATCTTACAGATCTCTTCAAGTCTCTCGGTCCTAGAGACCGTCGCATAAACCCCCTGTCATTGCATCCATTCACGACCCCGGTGTGACCTTCCACGAGCGAGATGTGACGGAAGCCGACTCACAAGGGCGGGAGCTCAGACGCTAACCCAGGAAGAGTGTCCCGACAGCGAATTCACCAGCTCAGGCCATGACACAGCCATCTGTTCAACCGCCAGGCACCGCGGCAGGTCATCTAAGGCCCCCAGGTAATCTCGAGGTCTCCTCCAGGCCATTCCCTTGGCCTTCACTCAGCCCTAAGTCCCCGGACGCCCCCATTCCCATCTCTACCCGCTCTGGACTCCAGAATGCCTTCCTCAGCCTTTGCTGGGAACGTCTGGCTTCTCTCAACCACATCAAAGACCACGGAGCCGTGAGGCTCGCCCGAACCCGGAACAACTCACCCGCACGACTCGGGGCAAGCGCTCTCTCACAAGCCAGCCGAATTGCATGCCGGGAGCATTCCTGCCGCCCGCGCTCCAACTTCCGGGGGCACTCAGGCTGCGGACTACATTGCCCAGAAGTCTCCGGGGCATAGGGCTTTTGTGGACGGGGTGAGTTTCCCTGCCGTGAACAAGTTTAAAAATGATCCAATTCCCAGCCTCCCAGGGTTTCCCGGTTCTAATTTCCCATAAGCCTCCGTGTCCACACTAACCTCGGTCTCAGGGTCCCTTTCCAGTGTCCACAAGGTTCTCGGACTCTGCGTGCTGTGGGTCGCGTCCGAGGAAGTAGATCAGCGCCGGGTGACTGGGAGGGCTCAGCGAGCTGTGGCGGAGTCGGATCAGAACTGGCAGGGAGGATGCGGGTGACACCCGGGAGTTGCTGGAAGTAAAAAGGCCGGGACAGCTTGTCGTGTCCAGAGCCTCAAGCCTGCGTGCACGCGAGCAGCTGAGCTGGATGGTGTGACAGACGGCGTGACAGGGCTGAAAGGTGACTCCGTGATGGTGAGTGCGACGGGGTGTGATCTTATTCGAAGGTCTGGTTTACTTTGGCCACGTGCTCTAGGTTATCTTTAGGCTGTCTTTGAGCCTGTTACAGATAAATGACCACAAGAAAGTCTGAGTCCTTGAAAAGATTTCAGAAAAGAAGAATGAGACTTAGTTCTGCAGGTGACCACATGACAGGTTCCTGGAAAGATAGGATAGGGAAGTCCTGGAGGTAGGATCCTAAAAGAGGTGCCTCCAGGAGCTCTTTAGGTACCAGCTACATGTATCAGAGCTGCTTGCAAGCAGACCTCTATCCCGAGAATTGCTGTCAACTCAGAGATAAGACTCCAGTCTCCCTTTTAATTGTGTGGATGAAGGCAGATGTGGCTCTAGAAGTTGTTTTGCTTTTATTTTTTTCTTTTTCAGTTTGTGCTTGAAGAAATGCTAGTGTCTTATTATGATTCCTGATTTGTGACCAGTGTTGCCAGGTTCCTAAAAAATACTGGAGGAGGAAGAAAGAATTTTTTGCATATTTAGAAATCAAGATTCAGGTGGATTTGCATTTTCTTTTCTTTTTCATATTATTACTTTTGCTTGATTAAAAGAACATTTACTGGGCGGGGGATGTGGCTCAAGCGGTAGCGCGTGGCCAGGGTTCGATTCTCAGCACCACATACAAACAAAGATGTTGTGTCTGCCGAAAACTAAAAAATAAATACTAAAAAAATTCTCTGTCTCTCTCTCTCTTAAAAAAAAAAAAAAAGAACATTTACTTTACTTAGCTGGAAATATCTTGATTAGTATTGCTAGTCTGGGTCTCCCTTCTGGTCAGTTACCCATCATGTGCATACACACAGTCCCCTGATCTTTAGCCATCTGTTCAACTCTTTTAGTGAATTTTAACATTATAGAAATATACCTCCTGGAGATTCACGTTAGAGCTTCATTTTAGAAGATGATTAGTTGGTGAGATTAGTTTTGAATGGTACTGTGTACAAACTTAAAAAAAATCTTTTCCACAGTTATGATTTAAGGTGAGGCAAAGTAGGAGGGTTTTAAAGGAAGGTAAGATTTCAGCCAATAAGTGACAATATTATCTGTTTTTAGGAGTACAAACATGAAATTGAGCTTTGAGTATAGGGATTTATGGTTTGCACCAAAAGGGTAGGGACTTTCAAATAATCTGTAAGTAAAAATCTGTAATGTTGTCAAACATGAGTTGTTTCAGGTTCAGCTTTTGAGATTTGTGAGAGACATACTGTGTTGTGGGTAAGAGTAAGGATATGGATCCAGACTATCTGCAGACAGATCCTGGCTCTGCGTGTTGTTAGCTGCATGGACTTCTGGACAATTGAGTCAGCTCTTATCTATTCACCTGTTTGGAGCATTTCTTGGAGCCCAGTTGACTGTGACTGACACATCTACAAAATTCAGACAAAATAATATCTACTATATGAGTTTACTGAATATTGAAAGTTATGATTCTAGATCATTCTCCATTAACTTGTTATAGATAAGGAACAACAGAAATATGAAGTTGATCATGATGAGTGCTTGCAAGTTAAAAAAGTTACCAGACGCTCAAATGCTCTAAGACAGGAAATCTTACACTGAGGGTTTCTTATTCCATTGATAAGGTTCCTGGTGACCATAAACATTTCAAAATTAAGACCAATTTTTTTCTAAATATTTGTAAATGTATTTTTGTAAGTGGTAAAACATGTCTATAATTTCACGAGACTGTCAAATGTGCAAAAATATCTGGCTGCATTGGTCTGGAACAAAGACTCTGAGAGCTAAGAAGGACCATTCATAAAATTTGTGTCCTTTAATATGGAAATAGTTAAGTAAATTGCAGTATATCTGGTGATAAAATATTATGTACCTAGTAAAAATTATGTTTATAAATAATCAGTAAGAAGGAAAAATATAAATGATATAATATTAAGTAATCATTATAATCATGGATAAAAGTACTCAAGAATATAAGTTATATTTGAATATCATTCACTAAATCAGGGTTTTAAAAGACTATCTTTAATCTACTATATCCAAAAGTTATTTTAATTGGTAATCCAGTGAAAGTCAGAGGTATAGTCATATTTATTGAGCATCTATTGTGTACCAAATACTGCTTTGTTTATGTGCATATATTTTTTACACAGACTTTGAAGGTGGCTTACCTACTTCATGTTGATTGAAGAATTTTGACAGTGAACATATCATTGTATTGATGAGGGACAGCTACAGGACGCTCAAGAGCTGGTAGGTATAATTTGTTTCACTGATTTTCAGTGTTAGTGTTGTTTTAGTTCCTTTAATGACTGAGTATACTTATTCTATCATTCAGTTTATTACATTTGGAAATGTCTTTATGTTTCTCATTATGGATTAATGAAAAAAATTAATAATCGAGGAGATAGAGTGAGAAAGAAGTTAAAATTATGTCTCTGGAGTTAATCATTCTTAATATTTTATTGTATTTTTATTCAAATCTTTTTTTCCTATGAGCTTATGTCTGGTTTTGTTTAAGCAGAATAAAATCACAATAATTGGTGAATAAATGAGTTGAAGGTTCTTTTTTTTTTTTCTTTTTTTTTTAAGAGAGGAGAGAGAGAGAGAATTTTTAATATTTATTTATTTTTTTTTAGTTCTTGGCGGACACAACATCTTTGTTGGTATGTGGTGCTGAGGATCAAACCCAGGCCTCACGCATGCCAGGCGAGCGCGCTACCACTTAAGCCACATCCCCAGCCCATTAGTTTAAAAAAGAAATATAGCCCAGATGTGGGTATTATCTTAACTATATAATAAAGAGAAAGAGAGGGACGGGAGAGGAGGCATCAGTGATTCCTTTCTTATTTGAAAACCTTCAGGTACTTACAACACTTAGGATTATAGAAATACCATTTAAAAATTACCAGGCTCCTGAGTGTCTCCATGTGGTTTGGTATTTATGTTTGGTCATTTCAGTGTAGCCTTATATTATGGAGTCAGCTTCCTTCAGAACAGGCATTCTATTGAGAGCCCCTTAATGGGAATACTAGATAGAAGACGTGATTATCTTTAATCTACTGCATTGTTTATTAAAAAGTAATAATACACCAGGCGCAGTGGTGCATACCTGTAATCCCAGCAGCTCGGGAGGCTGAGACATGAGGATCATGAGTTCAAAGCCAGCCTCAGCAAAAAGCGAGGCACAAAGCAACTCAGTGAGTCCCTGTCTCTAAATAAAATACAAAACAGGGATGGGGTTGTGGCTCAGTGGTCAAGTGTCCCTGAGTTCAATCCCTGGTACCTCCCACCCTTCAAAAAACTAATAATTTGGGCTGAGGTTGTGGCTTAGTGGTAGAGTGCTTACTTAGCATGTGCAGGATGCTGGGTTCAATCCTCGCACCACATTAAAATAAAATAAAAAAGTATTGTGTCCAACTACAACTAAAACAATATATATATATATATATATATATTTTTTTTTTTTTTAAGTAATAATTATGTGAAGAAGAAAAAATGTGTTACCAAGGCAACACAGATGTTTGGGAATTATTTTAAGGGTTACTTCCACATAAAATAGCAATAATCTCCAATATTAAGTTATTTTACAAAAATGTTTTACTAAAAAATTTTCAAGGATAGATATTAATAACAGAAGGTAAGGTAAGAAGGACACAGTTGTAAATATTCAAGTAAACCCAAATGTGCATGGTAGAACAAGATTGAACCTTTGGTTAAGTTTTTACTTGACAACTAATCAGGTCATATTTTATTTTATTTTATTGTGGTGCTGGGTATTGAACCTAGGAGTAGGAGCACAGGTTAGGCAAGTGCTCTACCACTGAGCCACATTCCCAGCCCCCAGGTTGTATTTCATGAGCCAGCTTTTTGGTCTTCTGGGAGGAAGGTATATTTCCTGAGAACTTGTTTTGCTCCTATTATTATTGAGGAAGAATAGTGGGCTCAAGGCTGACCTTTAAAATTTTAATAAGCATTACAAAAAAAGCAGACCTGAGAAGCATACATTTTTACCGTGAGGAAAATGGAAATAGTGGTCTAAGGTTTCTTTTTTATTATAATGGGATAAGGGCTAGTAATATCTCTCATCTTTAATAATAATGGCTAAAGCTTGTAGTTAAGCAATTATTGTATGCAATTCAGAATTTTGTATGGATTTTATGACTTAATCTTCAATGTGGCTATCTGTGGTAGACACTGTTCTCATCCCTCATTTATTGATGAGGAAACAGAAGTACATTGATAATTGGAAATTGATAACCATCAAGCTCAGATTCATATTCTGAGAGTCTGACACCAGAGCCTTTATCTTCATTTCTTTTTTTTTTTTTTTAATTTTTTATTTTTTTATTGGTTGTT